AGGAAAGGTTTTAACTCAAAGTCTCATTATTGACACCAAAGATGGCGAAGTGGACGTTCTTCAAGAGCTGAAGAAAAATACTTCTTCGGGAGGTGGTGGTAGGCATGAACTTGAAATAAATGAGATAGAAGAGAAATTAGCCGAAAAAGCAGATAAAGAACATAAACACAATATCTCCGATATAAATGAACTTCAAGCTACATTAAATAGTAAAGCGGACAAAAATGAACTTGACGCAATGAACAAAGTTTTGAAATCTCATAAACACAATATCTCCGATATAAATGAACTTCAAGCTACATTAAATAGTAAAGCGGACAAGAACCATGTTCATTATATAAGTTCAGATGAACAGATTATAACGGACTATCATGGATATTTAACACAGGATGAAGAAGTGAAGACGAAAAATGTTAATGAAAGAAGATATAAATTCATTCGTGCTAAAGGTTATGACATACACTGTACTGTACAGTATGACACAGGTATAGCACCACAAACATTTGGTTATAACGCTGAAATTTATGCTTCATACTTCTTTGTTAACGGTGTATTAGTTGAACCAAGATTTATGTTAAGAGTTAAGGCAAAAATAACTTTTGAAGATGCTATTAAAAGTAAAGCTGACAAAAATGAACTTGACGCAACGAACAAAGTTTTGAAATCTCATAAACACAATATCTCCGATATAAATGAACTTCAAACTTCTTTAGACAGTAAAGCAGACAAAAACCATACACATGAATCCTTCACTACTGTTAGAGCTGATGACATAATACTGAACTTTGACCTTGGTTCAAGTGCACCTTTAGAGAATCCAAGTACAAGCGTAAAAGATACACTAAACAATTTAGATAACAGTTGCAGGAATATTGAAGGTCATGCCAGAAACTTTGAAGCACATGAACTACCAGCAATGTTAGATAAGAAAGCAGACAAAACTTATGTGGATGCAGAACTAACAAAGAAATTTTCGAAACCAGATACAATGACATTTACAACAGAAATTATAAATGGTGAACCAGCAACTCCATTTGAATTTGTTAGAGGTCTTCAACCAGATACTTTTGAATTTTTCTTGGATAATTCTATTGAACTAACATTACATTATAAAAGTGGAACAAATGCAACATTTCATCCGGGAGATACATTCCAAATGGTATTTAATGACATAAGTTCTTTAGAATATGTTTATAGAGTTATGAGCATATATGATTTAATATATCCTATAGGAGCTGTTTATACGTCTATGAATCCAATAAATCCAAACACTTTATTTGGTGGTAGATGGTATGAAATAGTTGACAGTTTTCCATTCTACACTAATACGCAGTCAATGAAGATGGGAGGTTCAAAGAAAATAGGTATTGAAAACCTTCCTTCACATATGCATAGGTTCAGTGGAAGAACATCTGTGGAAGGAAACCATTCACATTCAATAACAAAAAGAGGTTATATAAATCTTGCAGCGGGTTCGAATAGACAGGGAATGAACAGATATGATATCTCAGATGACCCCAAAGATGTTAGCACAGGTATTTTCTGTGGAACTGCAGGAAATCATACACATGTTGTAGCTGGTATTACAGACCCAGCAGGTAATGGAAAAGATTATATGCCTCCTTATATAACAATGCACGCTTGGATACGAGTTGGTTAAACTCTTTAACTTTACATAAATGAGCTTGAAAGAAGTATTCGAACAACATCCATGGAGGTCATTTAAGAAGTTCAATGAAGCTGCAAAGAGTTGGGGATTTACTAACAGAGCTGAAGTGAAAAGGTTCTTTGACAAAAATGTTGTACATCAAACAAAAATAAACCCTTACGACTACTTTTTACCAATTTACTCCAACACTCCTGACGCATACCAATTTGACACTCTCATTCAAAGCAGAAAAGGAGGACATAAACCATTCCTCATCTTCATAAATGTTAACACTCGTAAAGCATATGCATATCCAATGAACAAAGGAACTCGTGAAGTGTTAAGAGTTTTACAAAAGTTTGTAGCAGAACATAACCCAAGTACTTTAACATCAGACCAAGACAGTGCATACCTCAGCAACGAAATCACAGAATTTCTCATTAAGCATAACATAACTCACTACACTACTGAAGACCATAACCATAACATACTCGGCATCATAAACCGCTTCATAAGAACGCTCAGAGATTTAAACAAGAGCGAGACTTTACCGAAGAAACAATGAAACATTTTCTCGAAGTATATAATTCCTCAACAAATTCTACAACAGGACATACACCAAATTCAATGACACAACAACAAGAAGAAAAGTATATACAAAAGAAACGAAGCCAAACACAAAATATCAGAAATTCAACACAATTTACCATCATTCCTGGTACAAAAGTTCGTGTAGTTCTTGACGACAAAGAAACGTTTAAGGTTAAGTCGAAATTATTATATCGTAGACTCTACGCAAGGTAATGGATATCTTATAAAAGCTGCTGACGACTCTATTGCGTTTTATCCTCGTCATAAATTAGTCGAAAGTAGTAATGGCAAACTTGCTGAAACCATTGACGAAGCAAAGCGAGGAGTGGTTATTGAAATACTTGACTATAACATAAACGATGACACTTATAAAGTAAGATATGAAGGAGGCGTTGAAGATGTTATACCATCTAAGAACTTGAGAGAGTCGAAGCCAACACATCTGGGACCATTAGAGCGGGAGTACTGGAAAGACAAAAATATGCCAGAAAGAATAAGAAAATTCTTCTAAACTTTTTCATTAGATGTAAATCAGACAAAGCATTTACCAGAAAGAATAAGAAAATTCTTCTAAACTTTTTCGTTGGATGTAAATCAGACAAAAATATATTTTAGGTGAAGAGGTGAGATTTCACCTGTTTTCTCACCCTCACCGCTTAGCGGCTCAGACCCTTTGGGTCTCGTGAATTTTCATGAATTTCCTTAAGATAGAAAAAATAAAGTTAGTTTTATTTTTATTTATTTTTATATCTTGTATGTAAAGATATGATTTCAACAATAGGTTCTACAACAACAATTCAAACAACTACAGCACCAAACTCTTTAGTCATGAATCCTACATCTATGTTAGTAGAGATGAAAAGCTTCATTCCTTCTTCATATACTTTTGAGACAGAAATACAAAGAATTAAGCAAGAACTTTTAACAAGTAATTTAGACTGTAGTGCGAAAGATGAAACAAATGAAACAGTATCTTTATGACATGCAGGACATTATTGACCATTTACCCAAATTGCCTGAAATCCAACAACAAAAGCTCATATTCATGAATTCGATGAAATAGAAGTGAAACCAACTGACTCAGTAGAAATAAAGAAGTTCATACGTAAAGTAAACTATGAGTTTCTAGGATAATCATTGCAACCATAAAGTTATGGACAAAGATTGCGACATGGTATATAAGAACATCTCTGACATATATAAATCTGGGGAGTTTAAGACATACGACAACTTTGTTTCATTAGTTGCTGAATGTGTATGGCAGATAAGAGATAAAGATAAAAGATCTAAAATATGGAATGGACAAATTAAAACCAACAACTTTTGAGTTAAAGAAAACCATTGACGCCTTAGTTGTTCTAGCAGGTCAAATTTCAATGTATAACGCAAAAATGAATCCGCAAGGTTCAAAATGTAAAGCAGCAATGAGGAAATATAACTACTCCGTCAAGAGATAGAACGTATGAGAACGAAACTATGCTGACTTAAAGAAAGAAGTAGAGAAACCAGCAGAAGATAAAATGGACATGTTAGCATTTCTGAACAAAAAACTATCCAACAGCTGACGATTTCCTATTATCTGATGTCAAGAAGAAGTATAAAGAAACTTTCGGCATTGTTAAAACTTTTGACATACTGACAGAAGAAATAGAAGCTACGAAATTGTTTAGAATTTCAAATATACATCGTACAATTCATGTAAAACGCTTATAAAATAACTGGGGTGAAAAATTAGGTGAGAAAACAGGTGAAATCTCACCTCTTCACCTAAAATATATTTTTTATTGAATTCAGCAACAAAATTCTGAGTAAAATAATTTTTAGGGCATGTGTCAAACCGTTGAGTTTTCACAAAATTTAAAAAATAACGTTTACCATGTAAAACGCTTATAAAATAACTGGGGTGAAAAATTAGGTGAGAAAACTGGTGAAATCTCACCTCTTCACCTAAAATATATTTTTATTGAATTCAGCAACAAAAATCATGAATTTTCCTTAAGATAAAAAAATAACGCTAATTTTTTTCTAAGAAAAATTTTTATTTTGTATGTAAAGACAGTAATGACAAACATTGAGTTTGAAACAGTTAGAAAGATAGACAATGACACCAAAGTGGTTAGAATAGGTGATTTAAACGTAAGATACTCAAAGAAATACAACAAATATTCTTTGTCAGACATTATATCTCCATCTGAAAAGAAAACAAACCATTGGGTTAGAAATGCTTCAACTCAGAAAATTTTGACAAGAAATCCTGAGCTTATGATATCAGTAAGATTCTATGGAACTACAGCATATCTCATTGACAAAAGTCTTATACCAATAGTTTTGTTATGGATTGACCCAGTTGTTGGATATAACTTCATAACTTATGGTTCATTCGATACGGAACGTTGCAGTGAAGGCTTACTTTACATCGTTCAGAAACCGAAGGACTTCAATACAAAGAGATATAAGATAGGAAGAACATATAATATAACTCAAAGATATGACAGTACAGTCAATAGAGTCAAGGTTGTGTTCGTTAATGATATGAGAGCTGCAGAAACAGAACTACTTGAAAAGTTTGAGAAAATGTATGGTGCTCCCATGAAAGGTAAAGAAACGTTTGAAGTAGATGAGATAGATAAAGCTATAAAATTATTTGACGAAGTTGCTGAAAAATACATGTAAAGCGTTTATTTTTGGTCTTTTGTGAAAGTCAGAAAATAAAGTTAGTTTTATTTTTATTTATTTTTTTATTTTGTATGTAAAGACAGTAATGTCAACATTAGAGAACACAACAACTGCTATCGTTCATGAAGCCATAAATGAAGAATACGAATACATACAATATAACAAACAACTTCGCCTCATTCGTTCGGTCAAAGATGACATGTACCAAATGCAAAGTATAATGAATGCTCTTCGTTCTACAAAGCAAGCATATCATTGGTTTGAAAACCAACAGACAAAAGAACTTTTAGAAGAATTTCCTCATATGATTGCTTCCCTCGGAAAACCGAGAGAAGAGATTCCATTCGAAAATCGCAAGAATTTGGCACCTGGTTTGAAAGGTTATTATGTTCATAGACTTTTAGTAAATGCTGTAGCAATGTGAGCTTCACCTCGTTATGCTTGTTATATTTTCATGATGTTAGATGAACTATATAAAGCAGAACGTGGAGAGATGGAAAAGAAACTTCAAGCAAAAGATGAAGTCATTGAATCCAAAGACAAAAGCATACAGAAAAGAATAAAAGAATACCACGTTCAGTACCAAAAGGAAAGGAAAAGAGTTATAAGTATATGATATATAGCTGAAGAGTTGGAGAAAGAAGAAGATAAAGATATGGTTATGTTGCATTTAGTCAGAAGAAACAACAAGAGCTTTTATGACCTTGCTAAGATTTACAAATCTGACAGAAATTGGATCTATCGTGAAAACTTACCGATTTCAATGACACCGAATGAGCAAATAAAGGAAATTGTCAAAAGTACTCTTCCTCAAACACACTATGACATCAAAGGTTGCACAATACTTACATTCAAAGAAGACTTACCATTACTGAAGGAAAAAATAACAGAATATTTCGATAACTTCAAAGAGGAAGAATAAAAAAATCTAAGCTAATTTTATTTTTTTTTATAAAATTTTATCTCATATGAAAGAACATGAATTTAGAATATTCAGAACTCTTAACAGAAGAAGAGAACGAACAACATGTAAAAGATTATGCAAAATTTCTGAAGGTATATAAAGCATTTAAACAATATCTAAATGCTTCTAAAGATTATGCAAAATTTCTGAAGGTATATAAAGCTTATGAAAAAGCGTATGAAAAGTTTATAGATTGGGGAATTGTTGTAAAATATCGATATGAAGACTAACCAAAAATATATTTTTGCTTAAATAGCTTCAGGGTCAATTTCTTCAACCATTTCACTTCCTTCGTCAATGTCAATAGAAGCTTCTTCAACCTTTGGTAAGAATTTCTGTATAACATCTTTGTTCGTTATTGTCTTCAGAGATGAAGGATAATATTTCACATTTGTTTCACCCTTCTTATATTCTTTCTGTTCGGAAAGATTCATAGCAATACTGAAGAAGTCAATGTTAGAGTTCTTTATGACAGTATAATGAGTATCTTTGACATTCACGAAGAAACCCTTTTGTTTCAAAACTACTGCTAACTCTTGTGAAGTATAACGTTTGCGGTCAATGACAATAGCTAATGGTCTGACATACTGACCAAACTTAGATTCTTTCACAAACTTCTTGTTAAAGATAACATTAACGTTTGAAGCACCATTGAACTCATTCTTGATGGCAGTAGCGAGAGTATTGTATGAAAAGAACTTGCAATCTTGCATGTGTTTCATTAAAATAAAAATATTAAATTATTTTGAAAAATAACTTAAAAAAATCTAATCTAATTTTTTCAAAAAATATTTTTTTATTTCCTACTAAAGATGTATCGGAAGTTGTCTAAGTTAGAACACTCGGAAATAAAACAACTTCTTACAGAAGCTAACATAGATGTTGCAAAACATTACGCAACAAACAAAAAAGCACTCGCTGACTTCATTAAAGACTACAATGGTGCAATAAGTTATGATAGAATTCATGAGTTCATAAAGCCGCAACGCGGCGAGGACGAAGTCCATGCAAGAACTTTTCCTTTAAATGACGTTGCTATTGACTTATATCATAGACGTTCAATACCTCATGAAGTAAGAAGAGAAATGTTTGACATAACAAATGCAAACGTTGGTGAAACAAGAAGAAGAGACGACACACTGAAACAACAGAGAAGAGAGATGTTTAAAAGTGCTATAGAACAAGTTCGCAAAGCTAACGATGTCATTCGTTCCATTGACGACAAACCAAAAGAAGGTGAGAGATGGTTAAAGAAAGATGAAGAGAATAGGAAGAGAAATGTGAAGTCAGGCAATAGACTCATTGACTTTAACATCGAAGCTTTAGATGAACCAAACAGAGACTACTTACACAAACATTTCGGTAAGGTTTTCATGAGACTCTTAGAGAAAATTAAAATAAACTCACAACAGAGATGGATGGTATGTTATAAACTTGGTGGAAAGTATGAATGTTCTACGTTAAACCTCAATAATATTGGAACATTACTACATCAGCTCTTGAAGGAGAACTTTATATCAGAGATAGAAGCAAATGCTGCAGGTATTGTTGAAATGCACTATGACTTCTTCTTGACAAACATAAAGAATCTTACTGAAATAAAGATGTATGATTTAACAGAATATGAAGGCTTAACGATGTCAGATGTAAAGAAAGGCAAACCAAAAAAGAGACCATATAGAGATGAAAGCACACTGACAAATGACCAGAAAGCCATTTTGGAAGCTCTTAAGCAAACAGGAAACCCAGCACTTATAGAAAGCTTTTGGAAAGATAATGGTGAAAAGAAGTTTTATAAGAAGAGAAGCGGTCAGTTCTGGAAGTATCTTTGCACATTACCTATAAATCTTGAACGCTACCAAATCTTCAATGAACTGAACAAAAGAACTGCAACACTTATGACAGAAGACAATTGTTTCGTTTATGCTTGCATTCAGGCTGGAGTAAATGAAGAAACTATTGACCACATGAGAGAAGTCATTCGTGTTAGAGACTTTCCTCAAAGTAAAGTACAAGAAATTTCTGACGCAACAGGTATAGCATTTAATGTTACCATTGGTTACTTCAATGACTCAAGACATAATGAAATAAAGAGATACATACCAAAAGAATGTGAAACTGTTCGAACTATTGACTACTTCTTGTTGAAGACCACTACATGCTAAACGAAAGACTTCCAATGACAACATACTTCATTCGAAACTATAAAGAAATTCTTGAAAGTGTGGTGGAATGAACATTGAGAAACAGATGAAATTTATACAAAGAGAGAGAACAAATATGTAGTTCGTTATGATAGAACAACACCGTTATGGGATGTTATGAAAACATTGTGGGAGTGCAAATATTTCGAACCTATTTCTTATGGAGAACTTTTCACATATACGACTGACTTATATAAACAGAACCTTGCACCATTTAAAGATTTGACATATGCTCCAAAGTATTGTGTACAACTGAAGAAGAAAGCCGAGTCAAAAGAAGTAAATAAAAATAAGTGCAAGTTCATTCCTGAGCACGTTTTCTTTGCTGACTTTGAGTGTAGTACCGATGGCTTTCATAAAGCTTTTAACATCTGTTATGACAGTGAAGATGGTTCAGTGAGTGAAAGCATTTGGGGTCAGAACTGTGCAACAGAATTTTTGGAACGACTTCCTGACAAGAGTTTAATATATTTCCATAACCTCAGTTATGATATAAACTTCATCTTAAGACACATGACAGAAGTGAAAGGAACTCCCATCATTAAAGGTTCACGAACAATGCAAATAACTGGTTTATATAAAGGACGGGCAATTATTATAAAAGACTCTTACAGTGTTATAAATAAGAAGCTTAAACTATTTCCTGCTATGTTTAACTTACAAACAGGACCGAAAGAAGTATTTCCATATAACTACTACAGCAGTGTTTTGTTAGCAAATGACAACAGAACTGGTGTCATTTCTGAAGCATGTAAGTTTGTCAAGGATGCAGATACATTTATGAAGAACATAGATTCCATCAAAGGTTGCAGAATAGATGAGAACCACTTCGACTTAGAAAAATATAGCACGTTTTACTGCAAACAAGATGTAAGAATTTTAAGAGAAGGTTTTGTAAAGTTCCGCAATGACTTATTGAAAGAGTTTGATTTAAACGTTTATGACTACGTTAGTATTTGTTCTATTGCTAACAAATTGTTTGAGAACAGAGTATACTTCCCGAATGGAAATCTTTATGACCTCTCAAATAAACCAAGAGAATTTATTTCGAGATGCATTCAAGGTGGAAGATGTATGTTGTCAGATAACATTAAACAAAAGAGCAAAAAGAAACTCATTGCTGACTTCGACGCTGTTTCATTATATCCATCAGCTATAGCAAGACTTTATACTTTAGAAGGAATTCCAAAAGTATTGAAGGATGAGATGTTAAGCACAGAGTATCTCATGAGACATTTATTCGATGACGACCAAAAGGAACCCATTGGTGAAAAGTTTATGTCTGGCTTCTTTGTTCTCATTAAGATAACAGAGATTGGAATACATAGACACTTTCCTTTAATAGTTTGTGACCCTGAACTAAATCCAGAACTTAACGTTCCCAGAAGTTCAAACACTTGCTGTTTAATGTATGTTGACCATATAACATTACAAGACCTCATAAAATATCAAGGTGTCAAATGTGAAGTGTTGCAAGGATACTATTACGATGGAAACAGAGATTTAGAATAAGAGATGAAGTTAAGAAATTGTTTGAGTTAAGGTTAAAGTATAAGAAAGAAGAAAACCCATTACAAGAAATTATAAAACTCATTCTGAACAGCATTTATGGCAAAACCATTTTATCTCCTATTGAGTCAAAAATAACCATAGTAGATGACAAAGATGCTATAAGATATGCTATAAGAAATTACAACCATATAGTTAAGTTCGAAGGTTTGGATGGTTCAGATAAAACTATTTTCAAGCTAACGAAAAGCATTTGCAGACACTTTAACTTTTGCCCACTTGGTGTAAATATTCTATCAATGTCGAAGAGAATAATGAATGAAGTGTTTTGCACTGCTGAGGACATGGGTCTTCAAATATTTTACCAGGACTGCGATAGCATGCATATTTTCAATGAAGACATCCCACTGTTAGCTCAGGAATTTCAGAAGAGATACGGTAGAGAACTTATTGGTAAAACATTAGGTCAGTTCCATTCTGACTTTGCAGAAATCACAAAAGATAAACAAAGTTTAGCATACAAGTCAATATTTTGTGGAAAGAAGACTTACATAGACTTACTCACTAACGATTTAAATGAAGTTGCATTCCATGCACGTTGTAAAGGTGTAAAACAAGACGTTCTTGCTTTAACAGCTAATGAAATGTTTCCTGAAGCTATACAATGCTATTACAATGAAGATAAGAACATTCACATACCTGTTGGAACATATGACAAAGACTCTGAGTTCAGTTTAATGAAACTTTACAAAGCACTTCATGATGTCAAGAGATTGGATTTGACTTATGTAAGTCTTCTAGTCCTTGCTTTGCTGAAAAGTTTAACTTTTCTATTCAGACTAAGACTTCATTCATAAGAAAGCTTAAGTTCTGAGGTCATTTATTTTTGTCAGCAGTGAGACCATTCATGATAAAAATAAGTCGCTAGCGGCAAGGGCGAAGCCCATGTGATCATTTACAATACTGCGATGGTAGAGTTTAAGAGTTGTGCTTCAATGTAGAGACAGTCCTTATGGTCTGGAGGTAAGAACACTGGGCAGTTATGGTCATGAGTGGAGAACATGTCTATCCAAAACTCACGATTGAAGCCAGTTAATTTATAGTATTTAGGGTTAGGAAGTGGTGTAGTTCTTGTATGACCAATGAACTCATTTTCAACGCCTTTGGCTATATTAGAGAAAAGAATAGCTTGCTTTCTATCCCAAATGCCAGGTGTTACAATCTTTGAAAATTCATTTTTCCTCGGAAGCATTGCATCATAATTGAAAACATTCTTGAAATCATCACTTGGTTCAGAGATTTGAAATCTTATACGTAATGGATTTTCTTTCTCTTTAGCGACTTCATTGAATGGTGAATATATAACAAACTGACAGTCATGTGTTCCATCTTCATTTTCATTAAATTCATAATGAAAGTCTATAAGTTGTGGCTGACTACCTTCTTCTTTCAGTTGTGCAAGAAACTCACGTAAAGGCTGTAAAGTTTGTACTTCAATGTTAAACTTTTTCTCGAACATTTCATTAAATGAAATCATACATTGCAACAATGTTGTATCGTCTTTAAAGTATTTGTATATGTGAATGTTTTGGGCGCTTAAAGACTGTTCGTCATTTTCTATCTCGACTTGAAGTATAAAGTCAACTTTCCTAAATGCACGTTACTCTGTTCCCCTTTATTTTGACGTCAGGGTTTTCACTACTGAACGCAACAGATAAAGGTATTTGTCTATACATTTAGTTCCAATAAAAATAAACCATTTACTTTTTCTTCACTTCAGCTTCTTTAGCTTTTGCTTCAGCTTCTTCTCTAGCTTTTTTCGCCAGTAGTCTTGGGTTCTTTTGTCTTCCAGCAGCTAATGCAGCAAGTTGTTTTTCACTAAGTTTTCTCTTTGGTCTCTCTGGCTTTTGTTCTTGTTTTTGTTCCTTCAGTTCGGATAAAATTTGCTCGCGAATTTCTTTCTTCAATGCTTCAAAATCTATGACCCCTTGGGTCTTGTCTGTAGGGCTTGTCTGAGTCATTTGACTGCAGATAAAAAACAAAATTAAAACTTTAACCGATGTAAAATGAGCTTGTCAAAATCAGAGCGAGAGTCTATTATATTAAATGACGCAAGAGGAATACAACATCCTTTCTATTACGTAAGTCAGAGTAAAGATGGTAAAATATACGTAAGAAAAAGAAAGGTTCCATTAGCGAATGCAGAGAGCGACAACATTAAGGTGCATGGCACCGAGGGTGAAGCCCATATAAAACCTTCTATTCAAACTGAAAAGTCAATAGAACAAGAAGAAAAGAAGCCAGATGTTCTTTCAATAACGAACCAAGAGCTTATTGCAAAGTTCGTGAATTTCATTGAAAAGCAAACCGAGTCAAAGAACCCTGACCCACCAGTGAAAGAAGTTGAGACAAAAGAGAATGTACAGTTCATTGAAAATGTCAAGAAACAACTTCCACCACGAATTCCAAGAAGAAGAGTGAGAATAATGAAGTAAATAGATATTTTTATCTGAAGTAAATACATGCAGAACGAACAGCTAAACGAATTTACTCCAGCAGAGCATATTCATCAGATTCGCTCATATTTCGATATCATAGACAATGCAGTTCAAATTGGTGACACTAATAGAAAATATTCTGACGCAAAGATTCCATCACAACCTGGAACTGCTAAAGATAACACATGGGTAACATTCAATCTCTCACCTCCTGGTGAAAATATGTTGGACCTTTACAATACATTCATTACGTATAAAATGGAAGGTCAATTTATTGTAGATAAAGAAATTGGTTCAGGTTCCAATAAAACAAACCCACCAGGATTTTGGATTGGTTTCGATGACGCTTTCTATGCAGTTGCTGGATATCAAATCCTTGCAAATGGTCGTATCGTATATTCTCAAGACAACGCAAGAGAAGAAGCATATATAACTTCAAACTCACAAACTACCGAACAAATAAAGAAAGTAGATGTTTTCTCAAAGACTCGACATGAAGATGTATGGAGTCATTCGGGAACATGCAGAACAGGACAAATTGTTAGTGGTCCAATTACAGCAGGAAAATCATTTGATTTTAAGCTTCGTTTAAGAATTCCTGTTAGAAAGTTTTTACCATTAGAAGCTATTCGATTTATTCCTGCATTTGCTGGTAACATTCAGCTTAAAGTAAAGTTCAGTAGCGACGCCTTACAATGCACATCTATATCTGTAAATGATATCATTGCTTTCAATCCAACTCTTAAAGTTGCATTTGCTTCAGATTCAAATCCACCGACAAATAAATTTGTTCCATGGAATGAACCATTCACTATGATAACGAAGTCAGTAGAAGCTAGTGGAACAGTTACTATTACAACTGTAACCCAGCAACTATTTCGAACAAAGATGGATTTTAATGAATGTTTCATTCATCCAAAGTCATTCTCTTTAGACCCTAACATTTATACAGAACTTGTAGAACATTATACAAACGAGGCTTTATGTTTTCCTGTTAAAGTTATGGATTGGATTCCTATGGACGGTTCATTCTCAAAGAATACAGATAGTTCAAGTGCAACATTTACAGCAGCTTATACGCCTATTAATGTTAAAAGTATTTGGGCACTATTTAGAAAGAAAGACAACTATTATGTTAATTTTGAGAACCCTAAGTTTAAATATCTTCAGCTTTCCATGGGAGCTTATGGAAATATGCCTGCAGAACCTGAAAAATCATATGGACCTGTATTTTATGAAATGGTTGCGAACGCTTGCAATACAAACAATGATATGATAGGATTTAATGAAGATGTTATGAGGTCATTGGTGGATGATGGTAGTGTGGAACATAAATGGGATAGCTATGACAACACACATTTCTTATGTGGTTTTCCAACAGAAGTGGACTTTTGCTTCCAGCAAGGTCAAACATCTACTGCTCCAATAACATACAAATTGTCTGTTAAAGGACCTATTGAACTAGCAACTGAAAACGTACCAAAGCCACTTATTGGATTTATAAGGGATTGTTGCTTTGCAATACAAGTAAGACAGTCAGGCATACCAATAATAAGACTTGACGACTATAACTTAGCAACTGACGACAGTGAGGAATAAAGGATGAACGTTTATTTTTAAAGCTTATAAATGAGTTCTTCATCAAGCTCTCGTGAACCTTCACCATCTATGAAACAAACTTTACCAAACGATTATGGAGCACCTATTGAATATTTCTTACGAGCTGCACAATGGCAAAGAGCAGTCTCACCAAGGTTAGGTGTTCCACCAGCTCCTGTCAAAAATAGCATTTGGTCAAGTCCTTATATAAAATATGGTCTCCCATTAGGTTTGCTAGTTACAGCAGGAGCAGTAATGATGTTGAAAAGAAATAAAGCAAATGTTGTAAATAATACTGAAGTACATGAAGTTAAACAAACTCCGACACCATCGTCAAAACCAACGCCTTCACAAGCAAAACCTTCAATGACTCCTGAACCTATGGAAGTACAAACTCCTATTCAAAAGTCAACTCCTAAACCGACTCCAACATTTAAACCAGAACCTACTCATCAAATAAATCGTAAAACTCCTGCGTTTCCATACTGAAAAAAATAACGTTATTTTTATTTAATATTAAAATTTTTATTTGATTGAAATGACTACTAAAGTCACTGAAGCAATGAAACAAAAGTTTTTGGTAGAATACATTAAATCAGGAACTATTCCAGAAGGTTTTTACATTCATACTATGAAGGATGGTAGAGTTCAGTTTAGAAAGATAAAGCAACCATTAGATAAAGAAGGAATTTTGAGAAAGATTAAATTACATGAAGACAACATTGCTGAACTTAAGAAGAAGTTAGAAGAGTTGGAGAAATGAAGAGAGTTATAAAGCAATGAGAACGTTTATGTTATGAGAAATTTTTAACGTTAGTTTTATTTTTACTGAAAATTTTTATTTTTATGTAAATGACAGAACAAAAGCAACTCATTCGAATTCCACAGTATAACAAACATACATTTAAACATTTATTCTTCCTTCCTGAGCATAACATGTTCTTTCAAATACATCCGAGACCAGTTGACTTTTCATTGACTGTTTATAAAGATAGAAATAGTTATATCATTAAACCATACGATGACGAAGGTAAGTTATGTAAATTGTACGTTAAGAAGTTAGAGAAAGTTTATGGCTTCAAGTATGACTACAATAGGGTTAACACTGATGATGAAGATATTGAGGAAAATTTATGAGAACATTAGTGAAGTCGTTAGTGAGAACGTTTATTTTTTACATTAGTGAGTTCGTTAGTGAGGTGAAGTGGTTGGCGGCTTTGTAAATATTTAAGGTTAAATTAGTGTTGTCGTTTGTATTGTAAAATATGCGTTAGTGGTTTTGTAAAGTGTCAAATTCACAAGTATTGGGTAAGGTGGAACGCAGTGCCACCATAACCAAGACTTGTATACTAACTTTTTTATAACGTCTGGGAAACTATATTTTAAGTTCAACGTTTCACCTCCTTTCATAACGTATATCTTGTCAATGACATTATATGAAACACCACAGCAACTAATGTCGGGTTCTATTTCTTTGATGTTTATATCGTCTGCCTCTGTCAAAAGTTTCAATAGTTCTTTCAAAACTTCATGAGGTGCAATGACATATAAGTTCACTTTTACAGGGTTGTGTTCGACCAAGTTTAACATTATACCTAAAGCTTGACAAATCTTCTCCTGAGTTTGAAGTTTGTCTTTCAGTTGTTGGTAGTCGTTTCGAATATCTGCAACAGAACTTAAGTCTCTGTTAACTTCAGGATATGTTGGTTCTTTTACAGGAACAATTGTTATACCATCTTCGTCTTCGTATGGTTTCCCCATTTCAACATCTCTGTCTTTGACATTGACAATAACACTTTGACTGTTTGTTTGAGTTGGTGAATTTAACTTCACATCTGCCACCGCCATTAAACCTTTTGAAACACTTACGCTTCTATTTTTCGGAAATGACATTTTACTTAGAATAAAAATATGGACGCATTCGAGTATCTCTTCGAATTGAAGCAAAACAAAGTTTACACACACAAACAATACAAGTTCATTGACAGAATAGTTCTTTACACAAACAATGGAAAATGTTATAGAATAGCAGTCTTTGCTGAACCTAAATATTTTCATAAAGCAAAGAAAGTTGGTATAACTGAAATGGTGAAAGTTCTTGAAGCAGACAAAAATATAACTTCAAAACTTACAGATATTTCTAAAGGTAAGTTTATAATACAATATTATGTCAAAACAGGTGTCATAACCATTTACGATGGTGAGAAAAGTGTCAAAGAACAACTTACTGACCTGCTGCCAAAATCTGCTCGATGGAAGCTGTCGTTATGCCAATCTGAGGAGCCCCAGCAGGTTTCATCGAACGAATCTTCAAAAGAGCATCTTCCGTGAAAAGTGCTATTGGTTTTGTAAACTTCTTTGCTCTCAATTCATCTGGACCGTCTCTGTCACCAGTATATTGTATTTGTACAGTACCAACAGTTGAAATACCACCCATAAAGTCTTCTGAGTCAGCAAATGGAATGCCAAGCCAAAAGTTTGAACGGTCTCCATTTGTATATTGAGTTTTTTGACCTCCTGTATGAGTCCATACTTTCACATATGGCATAATAGAACTTTGCATTTCAGGGTTAATGGTTGTTGTGAAGTTGTTGTTAAAGTTCATAGCATCTAATGTCAAGTTGTATGACCTCATATCCTCAACTGTAGAATATTCTTCTCTTGGATAATATTTGCCATCTATGTTTATATGATATTTAATACCAGGGTTGTAGAAACAAGAATAGTCATTTATAGTTCGTCTGAACAGTACAAACATAGTATCTGCATGTTTCATTGCAGTTGTTAAGGCAATATCTGTTCTTGCACCTGGGTCAGCACTTTGGTTTCCAACTTCACCTGCAAAGTCTTTGACAGATATTTGGTGTATAGGGAACATAAGTGGAACTGCAATATATTTGGCAGCTAAAGCATTTGAAATATCTGGGTCCAACATATAGACTGCAAGTCTGCTTTCTATTCTCTTGCATTCAAATTTTTCGCATGTGAACTTAACTGGGTCCATACGTTTGCACCACCATTATCCTTCATATAGTAGTTTACTTCATTGTTGAAGTTTGAGAAACCAAAGTCTAAGTCAACTTTGTTTTTGCAAAAGGCAGCGAATGTTTCCTGAGCTGTTGCTTTGGCTTCAATAGTGAATGGGTCTTGTGTTGGTGCAATGACTAAGTTATTTTTGCTTGGAGTAAGTTCGATAGAAATTTTTCATGCCCAGTTTGGCAAGTATCTTAAAAACCTGAAGATGAGGAAAGATGACAAAGGAACTCTAAGTTTCAGTTTTACTTTAGTGGCAGCAGTTCCATCTGAACCAGAAAGGTTAACATAAACTCCTGGAACGTTAGGGTCAAGTCTTCTTATTTTCTCAATAGTTGCATACTGGTCTGTTTGTTCTCTAGCTTGTGGTTGTACTGAGTTTCTCAAAGCGAACCATTCATAGTTTGCCCATGTTACTGTTTGAACTAAGTCAGAGTTAGAATATATCTTATATCCCATAAAAACTTCTGGAGCATATTGGTATCCGACATAGAAAATTCCATTGCAACCTTTCTTGTCAGACAACTTGGCAGAAGGTTTTATTTCAATGTCTTGTTCCACGTATAAGAATGAGTTGTCAATAGAAATAATATGAAACCTGTCGCAAGCAATATCTACTGTTGTTGAAGAACCTTCTCCAAACTCACCTACGTTTCCATAAGAAACAGCAGTTGTATATTCGTAAGTTCCAGGAACTATTTCTGACCTTCTAATGGCATTGTCGCATTCGTTATACCATTCGGAAACATTTCCGTTCATGGCATCCAAAACTGTTGGCGTAATATTCTGAGCGGCGTACATTTCATATGGGTAAAAATATAGAATAGTTGGATTTATATGTCATAATAGAACCCACTCGGACCAAGCTTTACTTTCTTCCTGGCTGAGTTTTTAACTCTTCTTTTTCCTTCATTGCCACTACTTTCACTAGATGAAGTTACTTCTTCACTACTTTCACTTTGTTCTACTCTTCTCTTCTTCTTTGGTGTCGCTTTGGTAACTTGCCCTCTGCTTCAAGTTGTTGCATCTTTGCCTCATGTTCACCTAGTATGTTGTAAATTTCCCATGTCCTTTTTGCCTTTGGGCTCTGGTCGCCCATCTCAGGTAACCAATATCCTAGAAAGATTTTGTCATAGTTTGTATTTGAGTCGTCGCTTATTGTTTGCATGACTCTTTCCTGAGTTTCCGGTTCAAGCTCTTCAAATATAGCTTGTCCATATGGAATAAGCTCGTTTCCAAATATATGTTTTTGTAGCCATTCTGGTTTTCTTTCCATGTTACCAATAATATCTTTTGTGAATGGGAAAGCTTTTACCCAACGTTTCAGTCTTGCGTCATTTATTTCTGTAGTTGGTTTTATTTTGTCATGGAACATGTTTTTCAATACTAACATTTCATTTGGTACTGTCCATTTGAGTTTTCTTAAATATTCATCCCTTCTCGGTTCATTGTCTGCAAAGTAAGTTTTTATGACATTTTGCAAACTTTCGTTTGCAAGGTCATGTACAATAGGTTCTCTTCCTTCTCTCTCCCTAACTCTCTTTCTAAACTCTTCACCAAATATACCATCTCTATGGTTCTGTGTAGTTCTTTGAGATAAATGTTCTAGAACGTCAGGTGTTATATTTCCCTCAGCCATGTTCATTTCATACTGGTCCAAAATATCTGCATCTTTCATATCTTTCAATGGCATTAAAGCCGCGCTGAAAATACCAGCTATATCTGGTTCACCATTCACTTCCATTGCGTCTACAACTTCTTGGAATTGAGGTTGTAAGTTTATGAACCACCTATCCGGATTAGCTTTATGACCTCATCTCATTGTAGTTCCATAGTCTGCAGAAACAAAAGTAGGTTTGTTTCCATATTGGTTAGGTTCTGAATGAACTTTAAACAATGTTTCATTTCTATATGTTTTGTTGAAATTTAACCTTTTATTTTCACCGAGTTCAGCCAAAGATTGAACGTTATATGGTCGTAAGTAAAAAGGATTATTGTATTTGCGTACATTATCTTTCAGTACTTCCATTCTATGCTGAATATTTTCATCTGATGTTGGAGTCTTTTGTATGTCGGTAAACATTTTTCGATATCCTTCTACTATGTCAGCCGAATTTTGCTTAGACTCTTGGAAAGATTCCATATCTCCTCATACACTTGTTGAGGGTCAAGATTTTTCGGCTGTTCCAAATCTTCATCTAGTTCTGTGAAGTTAGTTTCCAAAGGAGGGACTTGTTCGTTTCCTTCAGGCTCTTCTAGCTGTTGTTGCTGAACTATTTCTTCCGTGTCTGGTTGTATCTGAACTTCTTCCTGTGGAGTTTCTTGTACCTCATCTGCTGGCATTTCATATATTCCGAGACCGTTTTTAACAAGTTCCCTCTCTAAGTCATCCGGACTCATAAACCTTTCTTCTTTCGTTCCGTCTCTATTTTTTACGCGTTTCATGAAGAGAGTTGAATTATCATTTAGCTCTGACATCAAATATCTCGGAGTAAATTCATCCATGTCATTTGGATGATATGCTATTAAATCATATCCCTTAGCGAGCTTGTATTTTCCAGGTTTGAGATTATATCCGATTTGATGCTGAACCATAAAGCTAAATAGGTTCGGGTCAGTATTTCCTTCCTTGAACTTTCTAATAGCTTCTTTATATCTGTCACTAAAGTCAAGAGTATCTGGGTAACCATAATCTTCCTTAAGCATTTTTAAGAATTCTTGGTTTCCTTTTTCTCTACTTCTTTTATGTCTTTGCTCTGTTTGTGGTTGCTGTGCTGGTTGTGGAGGTGGTTGTTGTGTTGGTTGTTGTTGTGGTGCTGGATTTTGAACTGTTGGTTGCTGTGTTGGTTGTTGTTGTGGTGCTGGATTTTGAACTGTTGGTTGTTGTGTTGGTTTTGGTGCATGCCTGTGTCTGTGTCCATGTGACGATGTAAATGTTTTAGGTAGTCCTGGTGCAGGTGCTTCTCTTGGAGGGTTTGGTGGTATATAAGTTCCACCAGCTGGCACATATGTTCCATCTGCAGCATAATGTCCTACTTGACTTTTCGTTTTTAAGAAAGCATTTACTAGGTCTGTTTTGGTCTGTTGTAACTCTTTTTCTTGACTTTCCACAACAGCTGCTCTAACGGCGTCATAGGCACTTTGAACTGCCTGTCTCGTTGCTGCATCTGTTATTTTCGTCATATTTTGTGCTACTTCTCTTAACTCTTTGTCGAAACCTTCAGACTTCAGTTTCTTTCCAGATGAGAAGTCGTTCACTAGTTTCACCTTACTATGAAGAGCTTCGAAGGCATTCTTAAAGTCAGCATTCATTAAAGCTTCATTTGAACTGTCTTCATCCGCTTGTATTTTTGTCCTTATTGACCCTATAAGTTGGGCTGCTTTGGCGTTGGCTTGGGCATCTAACCAGTCATTATTAGCTTTTATATATTCTGCGCTTTTCATTGCCTTTTGCATGGCTGCGTCGTTATTTTTACTTTCTTGTGCTAAGTTTTCATACTGTACGGTTTGGTTTTGCAACTGTAAAAGTTTTTCTGCCTTTACATTTGCTTCAACTTCTTTTTTATACTCATCGCTATCCATATATGTCTTCATGGCTTTTTGTTTTATCTCTTCATCTTTCAGTACTTTATATTGAGTAGTATGGTTTTTCAAATTTATAACATCTTGTTCCATTTTTGCTACTTCTGCTGCTTTTTCTGACACTTTTTTCGCATATTCCTCTGTACTTAGTTCTTTCAGTTGTTCTTCTTTCTTCTTTTTCTCTACGTTTAACTCATTGAGTTTCTTTGTGTGTCTGTCATATTCTAGTTTCTTTTCATTTTCATTTATTTGTTTCTGTATGTCTATGTTTGACTTTTTGACATCTGTTATTTGATTTTTGAGTGAACTCAAATTCATTTGACTTTGAGGGTTATAAGCTGTTCCGTCTGCAGCTCCACCATAGCCTGCCATTTTCGCTAAAAGTGCCGCTCTTAAACCTCCACTCTGTGCACCAATAACTCGGTTTAAAAGCATAGGGTTGCTTGACATTTGTTGCAACATAGTGGGGTCATTCATCATTTGTTGTTGCAACTGTTGTTGTGGTGTCAGTTTTACTATTGGATGTTTCAATGCTCCCTTCCTCTTACGTATATTCTTACGTAGCTTACGTGGCATTTTAAGTGAAGTTAAAAAGCGGTTTTTGACAGATGTTTATATGACACTTTTTGTTCAGCTCAAAAAACTACTTGGTCAAAGTGTTGTCGGTTTTGTAAAATATTTGTTATATTGTTCTATAATTTTTTTAAAGTACTCAAATATATACTTTAGAAAAGTGGGTCTATCTCTATGAGCGTTGACGATAGACCATTATTTGTTCGAACAAATATATACTATCGTATGTTAAAAATATTTTGACAAGTGTAATGTTCGTGTAAAGTCCATCCAGTCAAAAGTTTGTCCGATGGTGAAAAATATGTATTTAAAAGTCAAAATGTGAAGTTATCTTCTCAAATATTTGAGATGGAACGGTTTGCCAACGGAGACTTTTCAATAAAATAAAATTATAGATGGGGTCTCCGTTGACGAAAACGGTTTATTTCAAACTTTTCTATGAGTGGTCCGAAAAAAACAGTTCATTTTTCATAATGGAAGGAAGAACAAGTGTCGCAAACAATTCGTCGACTACCTCTGCAGTTAAAGTTCCTACAACTTATGTCTCACCATTCTCAAAACCCTTACGACCTCCTATAATACCAAAGCAACTTCCTCATACAATTGCAAACAAATTGTCCAACAATTTGAGTTCTTCTTCTCAAAACACAACAGAAACAACTCAGCCAACAGGTCAGGCAACAACAACTATCGGAACAGAAGCATTTTCAGAAGAAGTTCATACCAATCAGACTCCAATCGAACATACAGAAACACAACCACCCGAAAATACAGAAACACATCCAATCGAACATACAGAAACACATTCTGCAATGACCACTAGGTCGCAAACACGATATATCGCCTTTAGCAAACAATTTAAGTCTCAAATTCAAGACACACAAGATAGAGACACTCCTCTTTCAGAGAAAGTTCGTAGAAAATACGCAAAGAAAAGGTTCGAATTGTTAGATAAGTTAAATGAACAGTGGGGTTCAGAAGACAATCGAGATTATAACGAGATGTTTCAAGCTGTCATGGATGCCATTCAGCCTTTTGAAAACGAAATCAAAGACCCTGGCGTACTTGTTGACATGTTTGCTTCATATTTACCTGTTACTGCCAATCTCATAGCGTTGCAAGCTATTGACCAGTTCATTCACTTGTTTCCAAAGAACTTGCAGAAGCATTTACAAGAAGTTAAAATTGCTGAATTTGTCCGTATATATCCAAATTCATACAATTATTTGGAAGAATTGAATGAACATGGTGAAAGGTCATTCTATTTATATTTCTACACAAAAGACAACCAGTCAAAACGACTATACTGCATTGAACCTATGCCTCAATTCTTAGACAATTTCCACGTTATAACAACTGTTGCTTTAGATATTCCTGCCAGAGTTCCATATGGAGGAACAGTAACCATCTCAAGCTTTCCCAAGGACTATAAAGGAAAGCCTCTCACAATTGCAAAATTCACACACAGCAGTTGCCAATTTGTTCAAGATGTCGAGTTCCATTTCCTCAACAATACGACTTTCATCATAGAGACTCCTCAAGAAGGTATATACAAAGTTTTCATCGCAGGATTTGTTGCTCCCAATGGCGAAGAAGAAGTCGAAGAAATCCTCACCTCAGAGAGCGAAGAAGAAGAAAATTTCCAAGACATTCAAGATTCAGAATATACCGAATAAAAAAAACAATTTAAGACTAAAAATTTAATTTTATTATAATATTTTTATTTTTTTCATCTGGTCTTTGTATCATTCCTCCTCTAGTTTCTCCGGGGCTAGAAGGGGCGCAGCCCCTGGAAGCCCCACGCACCTGACCTATATCCAAAATAAAAAAAATTAATTTCATGTCCGCAAGACTTCAACTAGAAAAATAAATACATTATATTATAACAAATCTATATCAAGCATTAAAAAATCATACTTCATTGCATTCAATTTGTCTGGCAAATGATGTCAGAAGTTCTCAAAATTGTGAGAATCATAATTAATTTACCATCTACGTTAATTGAACATTTCATTTGTACAGATTGTAATATTACGAGTATCGCGCCATAAAAGAGGCTTTTCTTTGTATGTTTTATAAAAGCAATCCCAAAGTTTGTATGGAGCTTGCGTTCTGTTGCATTTTTGGTTATATGGTTTACACTTCGCACGATAGAAATGAAAGATTTTGGTGTTATTCCCAAACTTTCTGAAATCAAATTCGTTATATTTTTGAGGGAAAACTATTCTTGAGTCTATAAACATTTTGTTTAATACTCTTTGATCATTGTACCAACGGCCCATGTGTCCATTGAGCCATTTCAAGTATTCAATGGATTTATTCAGAATATTATCATTTATGTACTTAAAATTATTGAATACCATAACACCGGCGTTAAAGTAATTTTTGAATCCTTCAAATCTTCTTGCAAAATCAAAAACTACGATTGCAGATTGGTTGTTGAAATCATGGAAGTACATATCTTTAATATCTTGTACTACAATTGCATCTCCATCTAATTGTAAGAATCTTTCCATTTCAGGATGCGCATTAGGAAAAACAATTCGAATATAAGTGTCGTACCCAACTATCCATATTCTTTTAGTCAAGTACCGTGTTTGGTATGTTTCGAAATAGAATTTTGTATTAAGGATTGGGCGTTCTGCAAAATGAGTTTTATATTTTGGTAATAAATCTGCATTGACAGTTGTAATATAAAAGGAAATATGTTGATCTGGATGTGCATTGACTACGGCGTATATAGCTGGTCCAAGATTGAAAAGGTCTCCTGACCATGACAATAAAACATTCATGTTACTGTGGAATTCTCCATTATACGTGATACCGCCAATAGTTGAAAACAAAACGATGATAAATACTGATTCAATGACTAATATATATATGGAAGATTTTTGAAATATAAAACCAAAACTCATTTAACCCTTGACGTCAAATTTTTGTGGCTCGCCAAGCTCTGTTTTAGCTTGATTTTCATAACACAATAAGATCTCTATATTGATATGTTATCTCGAAATCAAATGAAAGTCATGTTTCATATTCATTTTTACTATTCTTTAAATTCTGAGTATAATGAACTTCGTTTTTGTCGATGTCTTTTTATATCTCACCCTGTATCTTTTCTTTTTAGTAACTCAAACATGGTATAATCCTCTGTTGTCATATGTGTGTCAAAAAAGTGTTTGCTATAAAAGGGAAAGTACCGACAAATAACCGTTTTTCGCTGTCAGATTGATTTTTTATCAAAATATTGTGTATGCTATTTATTTGGAACTACAATAGCGAAAGTAAAATATATTGATATTGCCTGTTGAAATGATAAAGTAAATAGCATGAATATTCCTGAGATAATCATAAATATAAAAAACGATAATTGGTGTTTGGTCGGACGATAACCTTAAAAGATATGAGTTATGCTCTGGTTAAATTATGGACAAATTTTGGATCAATAACATTTTTATCCTTGCTATGTATATTCTTTTCAGTCATTTTTGGTACTTCAATAATTGAAACAAGCGGATATTCACAAGTTATTGGCCCTGGATTATCAAATCTTAAACCTGATCGAGAATTAAGTAAAGACAAATACTCAATCATATACCTAAGTAGTTTCCGTCGAATTCCAATTCTATCTAAAATATTAAACTCACTTTTAAAGCAAGAATCTAAGCATTGCGAAAAAATTTACATATATTGGAACGATTTCAAGCATTCAATACCGGCTCCTAATTTAACTGCATATAACATTTCAAACTCTACAGTTCCTATTGAAATAATTGATACTGAAATGAGAGAACTTGTTGCTCGATTTTTAATACCCCAAACCCTCGAGACTCAGACCATATGCAATATTGATGATGATATTTTCGTTAATTTTACAGCTTTAGACACTGCTTTTGAAGAATTTAAACGTAGAGGCTTTCCATTGTCAGTTTTCGGAAATTACGCAACTCTTTGGAGAAAAGGAAAGTATAGCTGGAAGAGAGGCCGTGATTTCAACATTGTTCTTACTGGACTTTCCTTTATAAACGTAGATTTGTTTGAAATCTATCATTCATATAAATATAAAAGCGTAAGAGACTATTCGGCTGAGAAAAACAATTGTGAAGACTTCATCATGAACTACGTAGCGTATGACGCTTTCGGGAATCGCCCTATCTATTATAAGATAAAGCACCACCTTCAAAATACAATTGGGCTGTCAAGAAGGCCTTCAAACAGCAAAGCAAGAGTAGAATGCTTGAAGTTCCTCGATAAATCTTTCGATTTCGTTGAAATCACCAGAAATACTTCAGTTCCAATTCAAAAATAATTATCTCATCAAAAAAATGGCACCTTTAGAAATTTATATATGTATTTGCCTGATATAAAAACCTATCATTTATACGCTTTTGTTATTATCTCATAGTATTTAAATGACATAAGGTTATGTTAGTTGCGAGTATCTAGATATGAATGTTGTTAATAAAACATACATATAAAAGCAAAGGATCCCTTATTCACAGGGATTCATTTCTATGACATGTATGTCCTTGCAGTGTTATTATATATAACTCAACATTCATTGATGTATACATAGCACGATGGAGGTGAAATATATTGCCACGTTGGGGTCCTATAGCTCCAATGAGGAGCTTCACTCTAAGAGATGACGATTAAATTGAATTTTGGTAAAAAAATCGAATTTATTGAGTGACTTTCTTCAACATAATCGACAATCTCACAATGAAATATGATATTCAAATTGTGTTCGATATATATTTATAATAAAATTGAATAATCAATTTTTTAATGGTGGATTTGAATAATCACCGCTTTAGTTTACAACTATTCAATTTTCTGCACTTCGAGGTCTTTTTTCTCTTGATAGAATAGATATCATTCTGCATAAGCATGACTATAACATGACCATATCATTATCTACCTATCTGTCGTTTCAGATATCAAAAAGAAGAGATTTGATCAAAACCTTAAACATTGGAGTTTTCACTGAGAGCCCGCTGATCAAGATTTTCAAAATTGGCCCATCCGATGTTCATTTTTTATTGAAATAATATGTTTAAATATGATTAAGAGTCTATATCTTCATTATTGAAAAAAGTCAACAACCCAAATCTAGAGGATTTTCTGCGATTCACCACACAGTGAATCGCATATTGGAGTGTATTTGAATACTTTTTTTGAAAATTTGCACATAAGATGGCAACATATCATTGATTATAGATTTCATAATAATGGTCGCCAATTCTTAGTTTATATACCATTTTTAAAGCAAAAGTTAAAAATTGAATAGTTGTAAACTAAGGATGTGATCCCTTAACCATTTCTTACATCATCCCACAAACACAATAACAAAAAAATGTATAACACCCTTAGTAGGTACTATATGTTGATTTGTCATAGCTTTTTTCCGAACATAAATATCTTATGGCAAACCCAAATTTTAGCTAAAAGTGACAGGGGAAAAAACGTTTAGTATTAAAAAAAAGACCGATGAGAGCTTCGTTCGAAATATAGAGGGAACTGAGAATGCGCAACCATTCTCAGGGAATATTGGATGCTATTCCCGTTCCCTCTGTATGGAAAATTGAGGTTTTCAAAGGGAGTTAAAGTAAAAACAAATTTATACTAATTTACTTCAAAATACAAAAGTATTTGACAGCTAAAATTAGTTACTTTAGCAAGCCTATCAATACCCTTTTACGATTATTGCTACTTTTTCGAAATAAAATAAATTTATTATCAAAAACCTTTTTTTTCTTAGTAAAAATAAAAATGTTATTTTATATCAAGTTTTTATTCATAAATTTTTATAATGTTGTATAAATTTGAAGGTGGAAATCTGTAATAATTTTATCTTGAAAAGACTTGGCATTCTCAACAATGAATTGAGGGGTATTGCATCCAAATTCTGTAATTTGCGTGAGAATACTAAGCTTGATTTCCGTTGGGATACTTAATTTCGAAAAATACTGGGTCATTCGTTTTTGAACCTTTGCTGCCTTGACAACTTTATCAAGTAGGTCATCTAAACCCAATTGAAGCGTATTTAAGTTTGCTGATGAGTTAACTATTAACGATTTAATTTTATCAGTGAGCATTATACATTTTTCTGTATCCAGTCTGATTGTAGACTTTTTTGGCTTTTTTTCAGATGGCAACGGATTTGGAATTTTGTCTCTGAGCCGTATATCTTGAGAAATTCTGTAATAAAATGAAGGAACGATAAAATCGATTAATTTCATCACAAATCGATCAAATCTCATGAAAATTGTTCCGCCAAAGTAGTAATATTTAATTTTTTTGTTAATCGATTCTGAAATGTTATTTGTGAGAGCTAAATTTTCATCTCTTTCAGCGGCTGTCCATCTTTCTTGGTTTGATATCCATTGATTTTGTATGTATTTTGAAAATTCTGGGAATTTTTTGGCTATTTCCAGAATTTTTTTGAACGTTGGTTCAATCCATTCTTTCTTGCCATTTCTGCCGTATGCAAGATAGTTCATTTTTGTATCTAATATCAATTTGTCTGAACTCTCAAATGCATAATCTTTCAAATTTTTTCTGAACGCCCTCATTACATGAACTGCACACCAATGAAGGATAACTTCTGGAAAAGAGTTGATAATCGCATTTTCGATTTCTTGTGCACAATCTGACATAAAATATTTTGGTTTTA